TTTCTTTTCATCCTATATCCCCCCCCCCCATCTGCCTCTGTGCTCGGTGACAGGTAGTCGTCCTCTGTGACTGCCTGCTGACACAGCGCCATGTCCACCCTCGGGCCGTCCAATAATTGTTTTAAGAGTTGATGTTGGACGCTGGCAGTCGCAGCGAGGGAGGGGAGCTGGAGGGAGGGGCCGCCATCGGGGAGACGTGGGGATGTCCGACCGTCAGTCAGGGAACAGCGGCAGGACGTCTTTTCATCCGTTTGTTTGCTCGCAGGCAGTGTTCTCGCCATGGAAGATGAAATTCAATCTTCACCCTTTCACTCGCCGCTTTTTTCCCCCCTCCCCTCCACGTCAGCTCACCCCAACTCTGACAGTCACATTGGCAACACACACACACGGGAGGACTCTCCTCCATCTTATTGGCATTGGGCGTATAGGTGTTTGAGGGAATATTGTGTAAATAACTTTTGTCTTTAAATCTGTAATTAACTGAGCTATTCTGCCAACTGAGTTTCTTCTCCCCACATCCAGTCCGTCAAGTAAAAGGGAGCATGGTTTATGTTCCCACTTTGTACTGACTGGTTACCTCGAGATCGAAGCTGGACTCTGATTGGACGGCACAAATGAAATGACATGAGGATATGAGAGAGTTGTGTGACCCACAAAGAGCCGTGGTCGGATTTCTTATTTCTAATCTCAAAACCCCTCAAAAACAGTGCAAAAGCGGTTTGGCAGCCAAATGGAGCATTTCTTGGCAAGTTAAAACCCTCTTTCCCCTTTCAACGGTGTATATTTTCCTATCTCTCTCGCACACTCACCTTAGAGCGGCCTCTGTTTTCAGTGCGCTGTGAACTGGGTCCAAGAACCACCAAGCGTGGCCCCCAGAGGATGGCGTACCGGGATTTAGAAGGTCGGAAAGCGTCTGGCACGGGCACTCGTCCATGCAAAGTTTGCATGGGCCACGTGATGCCGAACGTCAGGGGGCACAGAGGACCATTGTGACCCGGCGCCCACGTTCAGGGGCCCGGCTGAGAGGGACCAGAGACCAAAACACTGAATGTCATTGTTATTTAGCGCCAACGACCTGCTCTGTGCCCTCTGCTCTGACGTCATGGCATTGGTGACGTTGGTCCAGCTGCTGCTAAGCACGCATGTCTGCTCAGCGAGGCGGTTGATGACAGCGTTGCGGGAGCTCGAGTTTTCACACTGACGTTCATTTCACTTTGCAGCTGTATTACTATGTGCTCAACCAATCTTAATAGTAGTCAGTAATAAAGTTTTGGATGCTCTCTTCTGTGCAAAGTGCGACTCAGTGGGGAGTCCACATTTGTTTGCTCATGACGAAGCGCAGATGTGTAACAACTTTAGACAAACCGCCCATTGTGTTTAACTCACCTTTTCTCCCCCTTGATGATAAGAATGAATCTACGTCAAACTGGACTACTTCCCGTTGCAGGAAGGCTTGCGTTAACTTCCGACCCTAAATGTACAGTACAGTATAGTATATAGGTTAATCCACTTGTTAATAAACTGAGTAAATGTGACAGCAGGGGCCGTTAAGCAGCCGCACGCCCCTCTGCCATATGATAGTTGGTTGGGTAGTCATAGGATTTGTCATGCACTGCATAGAGTACAAGCAGTGTCACTTGCAATCAAGAGGTGCAAACATCGTTGGTGTCAAGCTGCATAACGCTTCGCATAGTCTGGCTGTTTACCTTATAAGCACCTGTGCTCTGTACTATTTTGGTGACAGTTGGCAGAGGGCAAATAGCACATTGGTATGCATAAGAAACCCGACCAACCATGATAACTATTAGAATTTCAAATAAAGGTCCCTGTAAAAGAGACGTCACCTGACTGTGTTCATTTGTGCTACCAGATAAATTCTTATAAGGGCCGGGGTGTTGTGGATTCTCACTTGTGACTTCTCCACAACAACGCTTTTCAGCTACGTGCAGCTTTGCACACACACAGTACGTTACCAAAATATTTATTGTGGCATATATCTAACAGCAAAAGATCTAACAGGATGCTAACTTCCTAAGAGAAAAGCAATAGATTCAACACAGAATCCCTCTCCACGCATATTTAATTCACCTCCTCACCTTCAGCCAACAGACGTCTCCCATGGAAGACTGGAACGCAGGGTGAAAAATTAAGAAAGGAACAGTCCCTAAAAAACTACCACACGTAAAAGAAATGTATGCCCATCAGAGGTAATATTTAACATATTTAGTAGCGGTGCAACAGATCATAAAACTCAGGTTTGGGATCGTATTATGGATCAGTCACACATCGGATCAGCCCAAAAAGGAAGATCCCGATGGCGTTTCTTTCCCCTCATGAAAAGAACCATTCACTTGATAAGGAAATTAAAAATTGGATTTTTATGGATTAAAACAAATCTTTTGATGATGCATTATTAGACAATGCAAACAGGTCATTATTCCCTCTTCAATGCCTATTTATTTGGTTGTGAAACCAACTCTTTCAAACAACTGTATTTATTCAAGTTTCTTAACTGACACTAGATTCAAGTACTAATTTACACAAAACAAAGCCTGAATACATCACAATGTAACTCAACGGAACCTTTTTTGTCCTCGCGTCAATTCGAAGAAATTTTATTTTTTGCATGAAATAACGTTATCAGAGATCGGTGGCAAGAAATGGGATGTCGTAGTTCACTATTTTACTGATTATTGGCGGATATCAATCGTCAGTAAAACTTTGTGATGGTTAACGTTGAGCTCCATAATTAATCCACGGCTCAGACCATGAGGGGGGATCCGTGCCGATCCCTGCTGTATTACTGACCGGGAAATAGAAAGAAGAAGAATAGAAAGGTGATAAGATACACTTTTTGCTTATTTTGTCATGAATACAAACTGGGAAAAAGAAGAATTTTTGTCTGTCATTAAAACTATATTTTCGTTACTTGGTTTGACTTCATTTTGAAAGAAAATGTCTTTGCTAGATGCTTGAACTGTTGCTCAAACTAAGCTATATGTTCAATAGAAAGAGATTACCCAAAAGTAATCAGTCTATACTGTCTGAAATCCTCTCCCATGAGTAACCAATGAATGAAAGGACTACTGATGTATGATACATTTCCCTTTGCTTCGGGGATACAAGCCTAAGCTTAATTGCTTCCACACACTCAACTGTGCAGCGAGAATTCAAAGTCATCATATTAGCCGTGCAGGGTGTTTGACTCGGAACAACGTCATTACCGCCGTCCCCGGACACACTTTTCCTGCAGCTCCGGGCAGAAGTGGGCCGTGAACCCTGCAGGAAACCGCTGGTTACACATCGCTGCCATAGAACTAGCACTGAGAGACGGTAACCGTGGTTACAGGGTCTGTAAGAGGTTGATAAGAGCAGTGTTTGATGAAAAGGCAGAGGTAGGCACAGTACGGTTACAGTTGGGAGATACGTGCAAAGGCGTAGATGATGAGTTACTGTGCATTGTGGTCTCCTTCCTTTCTCTCTGTCCATCTGACATCATGCTTTATATATTTAGCCATATAGCCAAAAGTTCCCCTTCACACAGACTTGAAAAATGATCAAATGCCCTGAGGCTGTTGATTGATAGATAAAGATGAGCAGGTTGGTAAAAAAGAAATCCCTGTAAAATTCAGTCTACTTTCATGTCTGCAAAATCATTTTCTCTGAGATTTTTATGAGGGTAATAAAATATATATATATATATATAGTATTTTTTGCATGTAATTGGAGAAAAATCACTATAGGTGAATTTGTAGTCCCAATTAATTTGTTTCATTGGTTAAGATGGTTTTCTTTCTGACTGGTAATTCTGTCCATTTGCTTCTAATAATTCAATCTACGGTAGAACCGGGGTTTACAAAAAAACAGATGGGATGCTCAACTAGGGATTATTGATTAAATGACATATTGATGGAAGAATGCAGGCTCAAAGCTGGAAATTGATTTTGCTTCTAAGGAGAAGACAGGCAATTAGGAGATTTTGTAACTCATAATAACCTTCCAGAGGTCAAAGTAAGATTTAGAACAATATGATACCACAAGGAGTTAAAGGCTTCGTGGTAATTATGCATGCACAAACACGCAGCCATTTTTTATCCGCATGAAGGACTTTGACTACAATACCAACATTTCAGATCAACAATCTCATCTGTATCTCCTTGGAGAAGGAAGGACCAGAAAAACCACTCATCTAAAATGTATTTTAACAATACGAGAAGTGTGGAGCCATAAGCATTTACATCTTTTAAATCTAAACTCACAACCAACCAACTAACAGCCCTCTCTCACAAACTAGAGAATATATATTTTTCACAAGGGAACACATTAGATATCTTTTACTTCTACTTTATGACACAGAAAAGAAAGGAAATAGACGGAGAGAGTGAGCGGTCTCCACTGAGTTGGTGCTTTGTTAATGCAGTCTGAACATTTAATGAATAAAGGAGATATAGGGCTGCGGTATATAGCAATTATAGAAATAAATTACCTTAGTTTAGAGAAATCCTCTCATGTTTTAAGTTAGTTGTAGCAGAAATTGTAACTACGCAAAAATGAATGTCTGTGTGTATGTATTACAATAACCAACAGTCTGTTCGTTCCATTTTACACTAAGGACTTCACTTACTTGGTACTTGGTACTATGAGAATAGTGGGCTGTTAAATGAATAAATGCTGCATAATATGCAGAAAATCTAACTTGTGGTCCTGTTATCAACCAAGGGAGAAATTAGAAAATTAGAAATCCGTTTATGCAGAAAAGCAGTCACGTCCTACAAATCTGTGTCTTAGCAACAACAGCATTCCATATTAGATCCTAATAGGACTTAATGATGAAAGGTTTTTAAAATGTAGTTTGAACATTTCAGTAAGTTTTAGAAAACAAAACCTATTCATATGCATCAACATTATTGAAAACTATATTCAGGACATGATCAATACCTCATATGAAACTTGATCAGTGGGGGTGGACTTAGAAATACCTAGATGAGATAACAGGGAAGTTAAATCAACGCCATGGCTTTTAATTCTCGGGAAACTTGATTTTACATCGTCTCAGATGACATTTTCAGAGGTGCTCTGTATTTTTTTTTTTTCTTCTTCAGTCACCTGTATCTCTCTGCCTCTGATCCGTCCTGACAGCTGTCCTTCCCCAACCTTGCCCTACAACACACGGACACACAGAAATCAAACATCGCTGGACCATCGCAGCTCCATGGGGCCTGCAGCTCACAAAGCATGATTACTGATGGCGAGCTGCGTCCAGTTCACACCGAATTCATCTACCTTCATTTCTGCCTTGAAGTCTTTAAAGGTTTTATCCAGCAAACGTTTAGTTTTCCTGCTGAATGAGACTGGGTCAGGAATCCTCTAATGACTTTGTAGAACAGCATGTCGAACGTACGCTGAGTCTGTTTTATGTTGCGCCGATAAGACCGGATAAGAGCTGTAGGAAAGCCAAGAGGCTCCAAAGCAAACGAGTGGGGGGAGATAATAACGTATCAACACACAACACACGAGGTGGGGAACGGGGAGAAGAGCTCCTCTGACGGATCATTGCCGTTGCATTTCATCTTGAAAGAACAATGTTAAAACAGGCATTAGGTAAGTGTTTTCTGCCTGCCAAAGCCCCCCCTTCCCCTTTTCTGCCATCATGCCGTTTCTGAAGGCTCCATGTTCTTTATGCTGCCAACTTCCATGCACAGGCTTTTCTGTGCTGCAGAGACACAATTTAAGTAGATATTTAGCTTATATTGTGTGTCCCGTTGTGTTACTAGGTGGAGGAAGGATCAATCAAAAGCTCCCAGCCACGTACTGTATGTATATTTAGCGATTTTACTAATGAATTGCTGGTCAATGAGCCTTTTAATTGTTTACGCGGTGTAGAAAGACAAAGCTGTTTCTTAGTGCTCGGTTGAGTTTAATGCCGTGAAAGGTTTCTAAAAAAATAAGTCAACACACTGGCCATGTGCTTTGATATGTGTGGTTCGATGGGATTTTGCTTTAAATTACGCTCTCATCAGCAACCCCTCCAATCCGAATCATAGATTTTTTTTACAGTGAAATGTGGGCGAATGCAGTTTCCGCTCCAATCGTTACATCAGTACGGGGTTAGCAACTCTCATGCAGAGGAAAATCAGATTTTTCCAGAAAAATATGTTTCCATTGATTCGTCCTTTGGGTTTATAGACTCCTTTCTACGAGAGCCGTCCTTTTCAAAGCTTTGGAAAGAACAGCTTTTTGGTTATTCATGACGTGCCATCCAATAGCAGTAACAGTAAACAACACATGCCAAATTATGGCTCATCTGAAGCCCGGCCCAATGGCCTCTTTAGATCCCTCAACAGAGAACAGCTTGTTCTCTCTCATCTCAGCCGTTCTCTCCAGACTCTCCTGCTCCATTGTCTCTCGGTGCTGGTTTATGGACGTGTACAGAGTTGTAAAGCAGACATCATAATAATAAACTCCCCAATTAACCACCACTGCTAAAAATTGACAATTTGAGTACTCTTCAAGCTTAACCCTTTCCTTTCGTCGGTTAAAACATAAATCTTTGTTTGGCCTTGTGGCTGATACTGTTCGCTGTAAACTCTTGTATACGTGTATGCATCTCCAATAAGACGCTCACTGGGAAAACAGGATGGAATTATCTGATGTAATATTGCTTTCACCGACTTTGCCTAATAACCCAGAGGAACGCCAGGGTTTGCATCTCATCCACAGGCTTCCACCTAATGTCATTAAGGACATGTTAACCACGTGAATCACAGCAATCCCTGTTTTTGAAGAACTAAATAATTGAGAAGGTTTAACTGCGGGAAGAAGCTTTAGATCTAAGACTCCCAGCACATAATCCATGTGTCTTACTGGAACAGTCTCTCTAAACAAAGCAATTGTATGATATTACATTGGTTGAGATGCAGTTTCTTCAATCTAATATAACTATTACCAGCTGTCGCTGTGCCTTTGTTTATGTGGATGGATTGAATATTTCATTCCTCAAACCAGCATAGATTTTCATGGTCTGGATTTGAATGTTTTTGCTCCATCAGATTAAACTAGATTGTTTATTAAGCATGGCATATTTTAAAAAATAGCATTCGGTGCTATTTGTATCTGAATGTAAGTGTCCTGTCTCGGATTATCACTGTTTGAAGTCATTTTGCTTTTTCAGGCAATGTTCTGTTATTTTAGTTTTTCCATGACATTCTTGTTGTTTTTTGACTTCTAGATGCAAATATTTCCAATAATGTTTCTAGTCAGAACTGTTGATTCAGACCATTTATTTCCTATTTTAGTTATCACTGTATTTAATGTATTCAATAAAATAGAGAATGGTTTCTGAGTTTTGTTCGTGGAAAAGCAGATAACCTGTCAAATCAAAAAGAAAGACGGAAAGCAACTTCACACTGACATTCGAAACTAAACTCTTTACCCACATGGTCTCTGGTCACTTTTGCATTTTTCTGTTTCTATTATTAATTGTGATATTATTATTGTGACATCCTTAAAATGTAGCGAAAAATGAAGCTGGTCAATAATATTTCAGTGGGTGCCAATAGCTTCTCTGTGAGTAAATCATCTTTTATACTTTATAGTGAGTTTACCCAAAATGTCCCAATCAATTAAAGTTAGCTAATACGAGAGGTAAATTCAAAATAATAATAATCTTTACAATTGTTCAATATTGCGTCACTTAAATTCAAACGACATTAGCTAATGCACGCGGCTCTAAATGTCACGTGTCCGTTATGTCCGTTATGGTGTGGGAGCAGGTGCGCACGTGATCAACTCAATGGCAACTTGCAGGACTCGAGGGTCGCTGCGGTTTTGGGCAGCTAGCTCCCGACACAACGTCAGCTAACGTCAGCGGATCATCGCGAGAACCGTTGGCTTCCACCACCTGCCTCCGGTGAGCTCCTTCCCCGTCAAACGGGTTCTCTCTCTCGGACCAGATGTGTGTGTGTCTCTCCCGTGCGCGCACACACGCGCAGGAGACTGACGTCACAAGCAGGAAGTAGAAAGGCAGTCAGCAGCCTCATGACAACAAGGAAGTAAAAACGCCGTCGGGTCGAAGTGAGGAACCTCTTCTCTTTCGTCTGTGACGTGAAACGTAAGAACGTGCCGAGAGCTCGGCAACGGAACTCAAGAATCAAAGAGAGCGGCTACGGAAGTTAGCCTTCAAGCTAATTCCTCCACTAAGTGAACAGTATCTCGAAAACCAGCCTAGAGAGAAGAACACAGAGGGGGCGGGACACGGACAGGTACGTCCACTGCAAGCCCTACAAGGTGTGTGTGTGTGTGTGTGTGTGTGTGTGTGTGTGTGTGTGTGTGTGTGTGTGTGCGCGCGCGTGTGTGCGTGCGCGCGCGCGCGCGCTGCATTACAGCACTTTTACTACCGGTTGTTTGTGTCAGCATTGAGGAGTTAAAGTACACAAAGCTCAGGAGAAGATGGCTCCGAGGAGAAACAGAAAAATGAGATGTCTCTTCTTTGTGTGTGTTTCTTTGTGTACAATGTACACGATGTCTCTCTTAACTTCCTCCAGGTTCACTCCTGCAGGGTGAGGTGAAAGAAGGGTGAGAGGGTATAAGGACAGGGAAGAAAAAAAACAGAAATAAACCATGTAAAGGTCACAGCCTGATGACTTGCAGAGGGAGGTGAGATTAAAAAAAAACAGCGTTGTTGTTTGGGATCCTGCTGAGGATCCAGCTGTACTCAGCACTTTCTGTTTGCCTGTCAGTAAACAAAAGTGAGTCTGTGTTTGCACGCAGAGACGGTAACCGTGACTGTAGATAGGGTCTTCTTGGTTAATGTCCTTGCAAAATGATGGATTTCTAATGGTGTAGCTTGTGGAACAACATTTGTTGTTGGGAGTATTATATCAGAGGGATTAGTGCAGAGGTTCTTGGACTTTCCCCAGTGCAAATATGAGAGCTGTTCAGAAAAGGTCACCGCTATTAATAACCTGTCCTCTCCTGTGTGTGTCTCCTATACGACTTATTCCTCTTATCCTAGTATCTAGTATCAGCCACCATGGACCACAAAGGGGAACCCCAGGAAGACGTTATGGGGTTGAAACACGAGGAGCTGCCACAGATGGATGGATCATGTGACGCGTGCGAGCCTGATGAGGCCCAACCGGCCACACAAGTTTGCCACACCTGCAGCTTTGCCTTCTGCCGTGTGCATGCTGACGCACATGCCAGCAGCACACATCATCCCATACAGCCTTACAACCATGCGGAGACACAAGCTAATGGACCTGGCAACGACAGAGTCTCCAGAGTTGGAGACGGAGCGGAGGATGAAGCTCGTGCGGACGGGGCAGCTGGAATTGCCACGAATCGGGAGAGGCCGCCACCCAATGGCGACGAGAGAGACGGGGCTGGTGGAAGACAGGGAGCCAGGAGCGGCCTGCACCCGGAGGCTGAGCCGGGTGATGGAGCCGAGGGTGCAGAAGCAGAGCAGGAGGCCGTGGCAGCCGGAGAGGCTGGGAAGAGTGACACCGTGACGGTGGAAAGGCTGCGCTGCAAGGAGCATGCACAGGAAGGCTCCCTGTACTGTAAAGCTGACGAGAAGATCATCTGTGTGGTGTGCGCCGTGCAGGGTGAGCACCGCGAGCATGAGATCATCACCCTGCATGAGGCCTACGTTTGGCAGAAGGTGAGTCAGACACCCAGTAATGGAATCATGTCCGGCTCGGTTTTGCAGAGTGTTTGTGATTTTTCTAGAACCATTTAGAGTCAAATGTTGCCGACACGACATTTTGTTATTGCACAGTGGACCGATTGACAGAGGGGGGATCGATAGTATCAGAAACCATGACTTGGTTTGGGATTAATATGAAGAGCTGTCAAAGTGAACACCAAAACAAACTGAATGAGCTGCACTAGTGGTTGGCTGAGGGTAATTCGCAGAGCACAAGGTTTGTCCTCTGCCCTCTGGCAGGGGATCTGAAAAACAAAATTAGAACAGCGCCTTACTCTTACTTTATGGATTGATGAGAGACAAAGGGGGTCACACACACACACACACACACATACACACATACACACACACACACACACACACACAGCCGAAGGCCTCATTAGTTACTCTAAACCTGCTTTAGTTTCTGTCCTACATCTATCCCCTGACACATTGAGCGAAAGAACTCTTAATTTCCTGCAATGGTGATATGATTTCCTGTTGCTGTGAGCATGTAAGACCTTATATGCATCGCATCCTGTAAATGACTGATGAGCTGTCAAGGATGTTCCATGCCTTTTCTTGTAAATGTCTTCTAAATGTCAAAACAAAAATGAGAATATTTGTTTTTGTCGTTGCGCCCTGTCTCCCTTTGTATAGAGTTAGGACGACAAAATTTGATGCTCTTCAAAAATAAATAACAGTGCAATAATGGACTACTAACAAACAGTATTTTTGTAGTTATATGCTGTTTTTGATGTTGTAGCGTTGTGCTTACTGTCCATTTTGTTTTGCCCCATTTTAAGAGCAGGCAAGGTTATGACCTTTTGGCCTGCACGCAACAGATGTCCGAGAAGATCAAGTCCAAGTGGACAAACCCTGAGGTGAGTGCGAACTCTCGCACACATCATTGCTGCAGCAATAAAAACACACTTAACTGCTTTGCAGTAATTGATGGACGTTTCAGTCAGCTTGAAAAATTAAAACTGAACAGCCTTTCAATGCGATTCTGTATTTCAGTTTCCCCAGTCAATCTGACATTTTATTGATATGATTTGGTATTTTCAATGTATCTCAAAATATAAGAAATGATACATGTTTAATACATTGTCTATATGGTTAGTAAACATGAGAGCCAACTATTTCATGCCCCATTCTGCAGCAACAGTTCTACTTCGAGTGAACAAGTGATGTCGTCATTGTGAGATCCCTGAGTCATCTCATAGTCGGGCCTCAGCTGCTGTAGGTTTTTATGAGCCAGCACTCTGACAGTCAAGTCAGAGGTTGTGTTTTCAACTTGGTGTACTCCTAGTCGAGAGAACCACACACTGTTCTCTGTTTTTACCGTCCTATTGGACTTTTTTTGCGTTGAAGAAATCCTCCTTTTTAGGACAGAGATTCCAATATTTTCTATTCCTCTGCAAATAAATAACATGGACAAGAGATTCCTTTCATTCAATGTAGCCAATATGACACAAATACTCAATACACCCTCATAAAGCTGTGAAACAAAGACAGGCAATAATGGTCAATAGTTGAAGTAATGATGGTAACATTTTTGCAACCAGGTTGCCGTCACCTCTTGATATCAACAAGGCAAAAGCGCCAAAGTGTATTTTCACGTCAAGTCAACCTTGAAAACCTTGGCTGTGTTTCCATTACGGATGCCATAGCGGGGATGCGGGGGGGGCTGTTCTGCCACTGAAAATCCAACCTGACCGCCGTGAGAGGTGTAAGGGTGAGTGACCGCACCGGCTCTCTCAACCAGCCCTGCGACGCCTTTCTTTTCCCCTGGTGGTCTTTAAAACTGTGTCTGAACGCACCGGGGAGCCGCGGCACAGGGGAGCATCGCTCTGTAGCTGCAGAGATGTGACCGGAGCGCTGTGGCACGATGCAGAAGGTTAATACGACTTTAGCTGCCAGCTGGCGCCCGATCCAAGTTCACGTCTATTATCATGCTGAAATATCAATGCTGCCCCAAGGACTTCCTGGACATTTAGTCTTCTGCTGTTCAGCTTTGGAGGTGCGATTGGCCCGCTCGGCTGCTCGCTTGCACGGGCCTCCGTGTGAGACAGCATTTTGGGGATTTTGCGTCCGCGCGTCTTCTCTGCACACTTAAATGTCAAGGTTGCTTATTATGCGTGACAGGCAGCCATCTTCAGAGTGACTGCTCCTGGTGAGGGAAGTTGAGTCTGCGCATAAGTGAGCGGGACCGAGGCAAAAGAAGAAGATGAGACCAGAGTTGGAGGTTACATCACGTGGGATCTCTTTATGTAATTTGTTTTGAGCACCAAATCAACATCTAAGAGTTGGAAAGGAAGCTGAGAGAAAAGGAGAATCAAGTAGATCAAGAATGGCACATAGTTGGAAATGACTAACTAGTAAACGCACCGCAGCGCGCTATTACGCAGATGCTACTTTCATTATCATTTGTTCCTTTTAAGACGGCGACACAGTTCATCACCAATATGATAATACCATAATGTAATGAATGCAATCAATTGTTATAATATGCTTGTGAAACTTGCTACGCGTGACGGAAATGCGCAGATTGATGAAAAGCAATCAAAGCGGTGCGATCTGCAGTCTGTGAGAAGGTGAAGGCGAGTATTTAACCCATAGCTGCTGTTTGCTTATTAAAACTACCTTGCATAATGATGTACTTTGCTGCAGGTGTGGGGATTTTAATCTTCCCGAGCTCACATCTCCGAACTCCACAGGGAAACGGAATGCAATGCAAAATAAAAAAAACAGTGACGAGGCTGCATGCATATTAATGCAGGACCGGAGGCGCTTCGTAAGCATCCGGGTCCTGTCAGTCACTCAGGCCAGTTGGTGTGCGTTCCTTCTTCTCGGACAGCTTATTTTATTTACTCGCGTCCCGCTGGGCGGGGGGGGTGGCGTCGTCCGGGACACACAAGTCGGATATCTGGACGGCAGCACGGCGACACCAGCCCAGTGACGAATGACCGTCTGCGTCGTCGCCCCCTCCCTCTTCCCCCGCCTCGCCAAATGTGCGAGAGACGCAGACGGTTATTTTCATCCTGCTTTCACCCCCCTCCCCCACCCCCCCGTTGTTCATTCCTCATCCTTTTCTCCCTCCTCCCCCTCTCTCCGTCTCTGTACGCTTCCTCCCAATGCTCTTTTAGACCGCAATTCCCCTTCCATCTCAACCCGCGGCATTCTAATTGAATTACTGGTGAATCGTTCCCTAGAAAGTTGCTCTGCTGACACCGGCTCACTCAGAACCAATAAAACGGTGTTTAAACTTTACCGCCGTTAAACCAAAAGCCTTCTGTCTCATTGTTCCGCTTCCTCTTTGAAGTTCTCTTCCATCCCCACTTTGAAGTTCTGTATTTGTGACTTTTGAAGAGCTGATGTTTTTCAAATGAACTCGTGTCGCTGTGTTGTGTTCGAGGTTTGATTTTGGAGAATCATTTCTGGGAGAGATAAAAGCGGGCATTAGAGGGATGTGTTCACTTGGAACTGGGCCACCATTGCCAAGGGCAAGGACAGTTCAAATCCATTTACTCCTAATGTGCTTTTAATGCTCCTTAAGCCATTTTAAAAAAAAGGCATCATACAAAACAGACCCCAGTAAACAGGAATGGCACTGATTTCAAAGAAAGTTAACCAGTTGAACTCTAGTGCTCCCAAAAAATCCCCCTCAAGGAGCATCAAAGTGGCTCTATGCCCTTTTCTAAGAACATCTGCATTTTTCATTACTTCATTGAAGCTGCCGTACGCTTACATTTAGGGAGATAAAAGGACACGATTGTATCCACATGGTTAAAATGTAAATCTGAACACGCTTGGTGTCAAAACTTAATGATAATTAAAGATAATTCAAACCAATATTTTTTTTTTGTCCACTAAAATTAATTTGACCCACTGATGGTGTCTGTGCCGTTAAAGAGGTTAAGTAAAACCCTGCCGACTTTTGTTTTCCATATTGCCGTGTCCTGATGTCCCACCAAAGGAGTGCAACACGATTTATTTTCTCTTCAACACTGCTATACTTTTATTCCCAAGGGCCGTGGTTCTTTCGTGCAGTTTTTTTTCCTTCGGCACTAATGACTCCCTTATTTTTTTATAAGTTAATTTTATTTGATTGTAATCATGTAAAGGCTTTGTGGAAAGTGTATAAAGCGTTTTATTTTGAGTAAGGCACAAACCCAACCATTGGTGAAACATTTTCACTCGCAAGGAGCTGTTGCTTTTTTGTTTTTTTTTCTCTCCCAATTTCACCTGTCAGCCCACATTTCACATGTCGCTCATATGGTCCATGTAAGTAATAACCCATCCAAAATGACTGCGGGTTAAATTGGACGTATGAAGTCTTAACCGGCATTACCATAATTCCTCAATTTCTCTGAGAGGGGTTTTGTCGTGATAATACGAGGCATGTTTGAAACACGGCCGGAAATGACAATGGCTCCCCTAATCTGCTCGCCCGACATCGTACCGTTTTTTTGCTTCAAAAAGAAATGAGCATTCCTAATCTGCTCGCCGGATGCCTCCCTCTCCCCCCTCCCCCCCTCACTGTCCTTACTCTCACTCTGCCCTTGCAGAAACGTGCCGCTGTCTCTCCCGAGGCCTCATTTTTGTGGCTTCAGCTTCAGATCAGCACGCATGAACGCTGCTTCCTCACTCGCTGGGCGAATTGTCAAAGCAACTCTGTGAAAGGTTCGAGGGCAGAGGGCTCCTGCTCCAGATAAACAAAGAGCAGCGACCCGGGATCACGGCTCTCATCTGCAACGAGGGCCCCGCTGGGGTCGCAGAGCAGAGGAACATGTGACATGGAGAACATGATGAAATGGGCTTGTTTTGATCAGATGCTAAAGACGGAAAGTTTAACGTTGTAGCGGCCCTTTGTGATTTGTTCCTAGTGCTTTCTTTCCAATCCCTGAAACCTGGTGTCACCACAAAATAGGCTGTATGTTATGTGAAATTCATGAGCTCTGCGTGATCAGTGATAATAAATAGAATATTTTTTATTGAGTTCATACTGTAGATATATTTCTTAAACATGCAGATTCACATTACACTTGGTAAACTTATGATGAAAAAATTCCTTCTTAAAGCTTTTTGAAAATGTATATTTGAAAGGTGAACTTGGATTTTCAGGGGAATTCGACTTAAATATTAAAAATATAGATCCATCAGTGACACCCAAATCGGAGCCATCTTCGAGCAAAAGACGTCTGCGTTATCAAAACATGAGCGACAGATCAACCACTGAATTATCATCTCCCTACGAAATGATGTAGTGTAGGCCATGTTATTTTGTGAATGGGTTTTTTAAGTGTTAAATGCATACGTTTTGAATTGATGAGTTCATAGGAGATTTGATCAGGCTATATTGTAAGTAATTTGAGCGTATTTGTGGTCTCTTTCTACTATTTCTCTATATGGTTCTTTCACATACGCATTTCACTTCCAGCGTATCTATACAAGGAATGGGACATGCTGCTAGTCCAACACAGTTGTAGTCTATCGTTCCTAATTATTCAGACATATATTCAGGATATTGATTTTGTTGAGATAAAAAAAACCAGCACTCTTGCTCTCCAATCAGCTCCTAACTAAGTCTCTGTCTGATTCCGAATGAACAATGTACATATAATTTCCCCACCGCTCATACAAAGAAAGTAAATTAAAAGTGTTACCTCTTGCGCTTGGTTTAATGGCCAATTTGGTAAATCTGATTGCTTGTGCAGAAATGGCACGAACATGATGGAACTGTGGGGCCCCTGGGTCCGTGGCGCTGCCAACCCCAGTAAAGACTGATGATTCTGTGCTTCACTGGAGAGAGGAAGGCTGAGGGCAAACAAGATAAAATAGATGGAAAGGAAGAGAGTGAAGTTCTGCTCAAGGGAAGATGAGAGACCGGAGCAGCTGATGTTCATAGATTAAAGCGATAATAACATATTCAGGAGCGGAGATCACGACAAGAGGCTTTGGGGCTTTTACCTCACGGCGTTGGAGGCGGAACCACCTCGGTGGCAGTGACTGTAGGTTGGCAAATTGTTTATTGAGATGTTTTCACGTAACGAGTCGTAGCCAAAGAGCGCTCCGTCAGGGAAATGGGTGGAAAAGGTGTCTCAGTGAGCAGTTTGGTTGCCCTGAAAGCCAAACAGATGGCTTGCCTTCGTGGATGAGTCTCTGAGGCCTCTATCTACAGATGGGATGCATGGAGTTTACTTGCAGGGGGTTTGCTCCATGCTTTTCTTCGTGCTATCAATTAGGTCCTGCATGCAGAGACCAGTGGGCTTGTTAAAGTAGTATTCCCATATTTAAAGTAAAACCTCAATTGATTTCGTATTTCTCCATTTTTGCATCTGACTGACTAATTCATATCTCTTCCTGTCGCTCCCTCGTCTACACACCTCAGATGTCAACGGAGGAGCTGGAGGCCTACGTGAACAGTCAGTTTGATGAGCTCCGCAAACTGGTGCGTCTGGAAGAGAAGAGGACCCTCCACCTGGTGGACCTCAAAGAGGCCTTCCTGACGGCGTCCGCTGCGGAGAAAATCGCGGAGATCTCCCTCCAGACCGAGCTCCTGCAGGAGGAGATGGCCGAGATCACGCACCAGCTGTGCCTGCTGGAACAGGCGGAGGCGATGGGTCCCGCGATGGCAGCAGAGGCCCTCGGACCACTACCAGCCCACAGAGTGCCGGTGAGATTCGGCTCCGCTATTTCACCGTTAGTGTCAGACTGATGGCTTTACACAATTACAGTCTCCGTCAGTACAAGTGGTCCTAAATCTGAATGGTAATCAATGTGATTTTTTCAGTCCAGTTTCAATCTGTGTTTTTCTTTTGAAAATCGACGGATTCAGAGGTGGAGGTTGGTTTAGAACTGGGAAGTGAGTAACTGCAGTCTAAGGCTCCGACTGTGGGAGTTTGGGGCAAATTTAACGCCAGTAAATCCCCCGACAGTCGGCTGAGAAAGACGGTCCAGGACCGTGATGGTATTGAAGTCCGGCCCAGATTATCTGGTAATCTCCCTAACTGCTCGCTGCCGCTATAATTTCAAAAAATGTTCAATTTATTTTTAGGGGTTGAAAGCTTCCTGGGATTCTAAGCGACGGTAAACGCTCTACTCCTTGAGGCTAACGTTAGCTTGCCTTCTACTGGCGTCTGATTTAAGATCTCACCTCTTGCTCTCGCTGAGGAATAGTCGATTAACGTCTAACGTTGGCCGCTACCCCCGAGCCATTCTACCCCCCACTCGTTTAGCCTTCTGCTGTTGTCTTTTCTCTCTGCTAAGCTTTTCTCTAGTAATTTGTGGTGCCGTTTTACTTTCCGCTTTGTTTAACTCTGCTTCCCCATGAGATCGTGTGGCGGTTGACGCGTGGCGCTGCTTTGCTCCCTCGGGCATGACGATCATAACAATGCGGCGGCATTATTTTCAAATCTTGTACCTCGTGCGGGTTTTAGATTAGAGAGAAAGAAGCCTGTGCAGATTCTTCTTATAAACTAGAAAAGCGAAGAACGGCAACTAATCGAAGCTGCATCACATGACAAGGTCTGCTGAGACGAACCAAACCGGGTCAATGCTTAATCAAGGCTAACTTTAAGCAGAGAGGTCCCGAGCCAAAAGTTGTTCGTGAGGGCAGCCTTGTAAAAGAGGGATCAACTGACTCGTCGATAAACAATTAAAAGCAGTTTGTCAGCCGGTTGCAAGCTGTTATGTAACTGATGTGCATCCAACTTAACAGTGCACGCGCTGTCGATGTGGTTATTATTTATCATTTCTACCATTGCGTAGTCTGTGGAACCTCGGTTATTATCGTAATCTGCTTGTTGTGTGGCCTCGCATAACCATGTGCCTTGCTCAGAGACACCCGAGCAGGGTGGTTGAATGCAGCAAAGAACGTTTGAATCCAGGCCTTTTAACTTAAAGGACTATCTTTCTAACGACCGTGGCATCTGCTGAATGGTCATTATGGCAAAAATGAATACGGTGAACAGGTGCCACTATACACAGTTTGGTTCCAAATGAAAGCCGAGGCCGGCTGTATTCATCCTGCAAGAATTGTGATCATGCAGAGAAAGGGAGTCTTCCTTTCATAAAGCCCGCTGCGTCAGTGTGATTCGGGTAGTTGGATGAACATTAATCTCGGGCCGTAGACTAATGAGGAATAAATCTGACCGCGGTTGTCCTTTTGGCTGCATTCTACGGCTATACACACAGCAGCTGGCTACACTGTGCTTGTCTATTTTTAATACTCGCCCCTGAGTCAAAGCAAGGTACTTGTGCAATTCATACATTTACACGCAAGTTCCCACAGTCTTTTCATGCTTCTCTCTTCTCCTGTCTGCACATTGAAGTGGAGGTTTTTGCTGCGTAAACATCTCAAATTTAAATACCCCATCAGCCCATTTGTCACTCTCTATCCCCACATTCAGGAAAAGGAGGCTTGAGTGTTCCCAGGTGACGCTGTACAGGACCAGGGAGACTGCCGTAATGGTGCTGTGCAGATTGCTTTTTCCAGCTGAGAGATGAATCCATGGCGGACCGAGTTCATTAAGGCCCCTTAATTGAATGCTGATTCTTACCCCGTTTGGTCTTGTGTGTTCGTTGTGGCTGGAGTGGGCAGCGTTATTCACAAATGTATGGTCACGGGAGAAGTATGTGCAGCTGTAGAGATGTTGCTAATGCAGTACTTGTGCAGCGGGTTGTGTCTTTTTAAATGTTCCAAGTGAAATTGAGGTTAGTTGTATGCGCAGTAAAAACAGTCGTTGCATCGAGTTGCCCTGAGCGCAACAACACCTGCAGACATTCCGTCCTCCGTTAAAACAATTGTGATGTGCAGAGGTTTTTTTTTTTTTTGTTTCCAGAGAACGACCGGCTCTGCCATTAATCCTCCCGCCGGCTCCCTCGATCTATCACTGTTAGTCCGTCCGTCTCATAGCTGCAGTGTCTACAGATGGTACGCTGAACTGCAATCATTCACTTGCCTCTTTACTGCAGTTCCGCTGAACTTTGCAGAGCGTTCCCTCTCCGTGACTACTTTTTTCTATGAATAATTGTTTTGCTAATTGCTTTGTTCAAAATTGAAACAAATTGGAGGTGTTTGAGGTGATGTCTTCATCTGTCCAAGAGAAGAAAGGACCAGCAGCTTTTGAGCTGAAGTCAGAAAAGCAATTGTTGCGTCAGGCTCACCCACCGCAGCTCCGTGACAGATTTTCTCACCTTCATAAACTCCCTTCCTTTCTCCCCTCTCCAAAGAATAAACCACATAATTGATGTGAGCCTTTGGGCTCGGGGTCAAACAAACAAATTGTTGCTGGTTCAGTTTAATAATCCCTTGTTGTTCTTTTATTGCATGCACAGGAACACATAAGTGTAGACACACACATACACACACAAAGAGGGTCATCAAGGATGAGAAAAACATTCAGAAAATTATCCAATCAGCGGGAGCCAGAGGGAAAATACATTAAGCAGCTCTTGTCAGTCCATTTATCAAAATACTCGCTCGCAAAGTTTTCATTAAAAAGTGCCAGTAGGCCCTCGTATGTACACCCATACCGTTTGTTTACCTGAGCATTCACTGATGACTGTACAGTAATTAAACATATACAAGAAACGTATACCTCACTGGGCAGGAAATAGTGGTTCTGCCTGACTGGGACTCAGCCAGTGCATAAAGAAAACAAAGCCAAGCTGTCTCATCAGTCAGGCATTGGGAGTCTGCACCAGTGACCCGACCCCGTCTCAGGGGTGACCCGGGTTAAATGTTTGGTTTGTTTGCAGTGGATGGACTTTGAATGCGGTTAAGATAAAAATTGTGTGAAATTGCATCGTATTAAAGGGGCCGCTCACCCCTGAAATAACTATATTTATTTATATATATATATATATTCATAAGGCTGATTGGAAACCCTAATTTGCTTTAATGGACCACTAATGAAGCCATCCAACGATATTAATTTCATGATATACTGACTATTTTCTACTCGTCTGATATTATGACTGTACTAATTGCTTATTATGAAAGGCATTTATTATAGATCGTTGCCGAGTATATTAAAAACCGAATAAGCCAAGCTTATTACACCAATATACCTTAATTTAATTGTGAACAGCCGTTTTCTATTTTTGCTGTGATCCAGCAGATTTCCTTTTTTGGGGAGCTAGCGGCACCCCTTTTAAAATCTATCCAGGCTGCATTCAAACAGATCAAGGGCACATATTGCATCAAGTTGATATTGTTTTGAAGGGAGCAGCTTCATGTTGCTTAGTTGGATGACTCTCAAGTCCGGGTTGTTCTTACAGGGACTTGGAGAGTTTGAGATGTGCACATTATGGAATGAACAGCCTCTGGCCACTTGAATGATGTAACAAATGTTTCATCAAGTATTATTCAGCTGTTTTTATTCCCATGGTGCTGCAAGCCGTCAGTTTCTTTCTAAAAGCAAATTTCTTCCAATTCTGTGAGCAGGGGCACTAAAATACTCTAAATGAAGAAAAGGCACTGACATTCCATTTATGAATGGAATTCATAATGCAAAAGAAATCTATTGTGCATTGTACTAATTCAACATTTACATCCATAAAATAATTTAGATGAACTCGTGTTGCATGTAATCAATTGCAACAAGACAAATGCTTTTTGGGGCTTATATCATCAACAATACCATTTGATTCCATCTGATTACTAGGATTGATTAGTCCGTATGAATCATTCTATAGCTTACAAAGTCATTATAAATCAACTCCATATAAGGTCGAATCCCTTGTTGATTTTGGCCTCTAAAGGGAAATTGATTTAAAAAAATGATAGACGCAAACATGTTTCCGTAGTGTATTATTACTCAGAATAGTTAGAACCTTTTGATTCATTAAATCCCACGTACAGTCCACTTGATTGCTTCTCCGACTGAGAGGACGAATAAAATGTAAATGTGAAATCTACTGAAATGATTTTACCCGGCAACATCATGGGTTTTGATAGCACACTTACACTATTCGATTTTTTTTTTTTTTTTCTGTGTCATTCTTTTTGCATCTCTTTGCATCTGCCGCTGTTAGCAATCATCTGATGACAACTCAGTACACCAACCAAGCAAAGAGAAAGAAAGGCAGCCTCGCAGCCACCAGTTGCAAGCTTCTCTGGCGATTTGTAAGCTTTGCACTCCCAATTTCCCAAATTTACTTTTGAGTCTATTTAAGTGTTTGACGCGGTAAACCAAGCAGAATCTGACCGAGTTCCAATATTTGAAAGTACACCATTTGTCCAGCTCTGGAGCTGATTAAATTTAAAGCCAAATCTTAGTCGGTGAGGCAGACAGCCAGCCAGTGCTCGTCAGCTCATCTGCTGCGCTGCCAGGAAGCCACAGCGCACGAGGCGCTGTAAATTACACAGTGTCAAAGTCCCTTTCTGCCGCAGCCATCTTGGCGTCGGTAGTTGAGGTCCAGAGCTACACGACGGTCACTGCCGGGGTGAAATATGAAAAGAGAAGATAATAAAAAGAGACTGTCTGGTGCTCCAAGTCCTCTTTACTGAAGATAAACCAATTGAGATTACGAGTGGTGTGAAAAGTAGTGAGACTGTTGCACATGACACCAATTTCAAGTGTAGTGCATTGATACTGGTGCAGAAGGTTCAAGCCGCTAAACAAACTGGTGTCACTGGGAGGCCGCGCGAAATAATGCATTTACATCTTGTAGACAGAATCTGAATTCATTTGGCACATGAATATGCTGCAGGTTGGTGTAGCCGTCACATCCTGGCTCTCGACGAATCGCGTCCATCATTTCTACATGAGAAAAGATCTTTTAAGCCCCAATTACAATTAAACATTTGGTGCTTTGTTCCAGACTGCTCTTTTTTTTTTTTTTTAAAGCTCATGAACATGCATGGGCACGAGTGGTGGATGGAAATGAAAATGATTTGGTCCGATTAAGAACCACACCAGATGCACAACCTGGTTGATGTAAATTCTGTTTACTTGCTTATTTGTTATCCTGCAGGAAGATTTTAAACACACTCTCTTTTTCCCTCCTCTTTTTCAGCGGGACATTGAAGCTATGCCAAGGTAAGCCCGCCAGATTGATTCATTTTCGCCCTTTCACGACAGCAGAGTTTGACACACAAACACACACACATTCAAACACACACCTTCCAAGTCTCTCCACATCTTTTTATTACTCATTAAAACAACTCACAAGCTCACCACGGACACGGAGTCACATGTGCGCATCAAGCCTGCCACGGTAATGCCCCAGCAAGGCAATTAGTAGTGTGTGTGTGTGTGTGTGTGTGTGTGTGTGTGTGTGTGTGTGTGACCGTCTGCCTTCTCCGATAACAGACAGTGTGTTTCTGTCCGTAGTGTGTGCGTCACACCCTTCGATACAGCAAAGTATTTCCATTCGCCACTGCTGATGACGTGTGCCTGCAGGTGCGTGTAAAAGAGGTCGAGGAGCCGGACTGGACAGAAGCAGATATATTATTTTTTTTTTTACGATTAGTTTTGGTCCATAATTTGTCCCCGGCTGCATCCTCAACCTTTTTTTAGATGTGTCCATGTCAGACATTCGTAAACTGATAGTATGTCTCCCGGTCTCACGCCTATTGATCTGTTGACGCTGAAAACCGTCTGCGCCTCCTCCACCACCCGGTTCCAGCAGCGCTCCTAGCACCACCTGCTGTCTCTGCCTCCCCTCCTGGCCGTCCCTCTGGGCTTTCATCTCAAAGTAGCTACTCCTCCCCGCTGCCGACGCATACAAACCTTCTGCAAATGCTTGCACAGACGTCCTCCGAGAGAACAACTGCAGTTTCTGTGAGACTCAATTCGATGAGATAAGACAAGATGAATGCCGGATAAAAACGCATGATCCCGTCTGCTACGAGATAAACCTCTCATGGATAACAATGTAGTCTATTTCTGCTTTTGGACTATTCTTTCCATCAGCACCATGTCTGGTGCGCCGGGGCCAACATGTAAAATGTTATTGATTGGTCAGCCGGTATTATGAGCAGATGGCAGCGAGCTTGGACCCAAGGGTGAGATCGAGCTAATAGTTTGCCCTTGGTCAAGGTTAACCTATACTGTTACATCCCTCCACACGACCGCACACACACACACCCACACGCACGCTGATAATTACTCTGAGTGCAGTGAGTGCACAATCTACTGTGGCGACACATTTTGTACTCTGTAGGATGTGCGAGAAATTAAGTTTTGGTGTTTGGAGGAAATCTATATTAAGAAATTCTGGACCGTTCTCGTGTGAGTTTATTACAGCGGCTGAGCAGTAGAGATTAAAGGGCTTAAGTTTTGAAGGGGAAGCAAACAAAGGGTGAAAAGAAATACAGACTGAGCAGAAGGATGCACATATAGGGGGATCAAGCTAGGAGTGGTTGTTTTGGGTTGTATGGAGTGGGACCCAGACATCAAATTGATTATGAAGCAGAAACTCTAATCCGGTGTCTGAGCTCATATCGCCGCTGTCGATCCCCATAGGACAGCAATCCTGCACCCAACCCGCATCTTTCCCGGAGTTTCCTCATCAATACGATCCCCCCCCCCCCTCCCCCGAGCCCCTTAACATGGCTCGGCCATGCCTGCCAAGATTTGTCCTTCTCTGAATATAAATCTTGTTTTACTCCCCTTAGCCCAACCGTCTCACCGCTGCCTCTAATGTGATGGATTGCACATTTTGCTTGCCTTGCTCGGTTTAAACCCTCTCGCCTCCTTTGCAACTTCTCCTTCTTGTCCTACCTGTGTGTCGCTTTATTTGTATGCTTGAATAGGGCCACCTGGGAAACCAGAACATTTAGGTCATGCAATTAACTTGTGCCGTTTTAAAACATTTAGTTTGTCTGGTTAATTAAATCAACTTAATTAGAAGAGTAATGATTAAATGTTGGACGTTAACTCGTGACTATCATTGTATACCTCTCTCTCTCTCAAAGTCGACGCTTACCAATTGATTTGCTTCCAGACATGGATTGTGGTGCCTCAGAAGTCGCTTAATTAATGATTAAAAGAGGAGAGGGTCTCCTGCCATCTTCACACCCACACAGGCGCACACAAACACACACAAATTAAGTCTGGGGAGGACAGGCTCGTGACTGCACTCTAATGTTGCCTCCTGAGTTCTTCTTCTGCATAAGGACCAAATGGAAGCAAAGACAGTGGGACACTGTTTCAGAATATATATATATTTTTTTAATAGACGCGTTGTAGTATTTCTGTCTTTTTTGGTTTCCTGGCAACAAACACAGATTACCTTAACCTTCGAGCAAAATATTTCTAATCGTGCCACCGCCCAGGTTTTGGCTGTCACTCAAAGAATAATAATTATTGGCCACTTATAACTCTAATTACTTATGACTGTCTCCCCCACACTTTTTGAAAGACATGATTATGGACACAGAACGAACAACAATGGTACTTGTGTGCCTAGCAGACCCGGCACACGGCCTCAGAAAAACCAAATGAATGATTCTCGTTCTCATTTTTATTTCCCACAAACAAACATCGAATTGCTACTGGAGCTAATGTATGTACATTTGGTGTATTGTGTGAGGTTTTTATTGACTGACTGCTCTCAGAAAGAAAAGGAAATATCTTTGCTGACATAATTTAGTATATTTTGTGTGTGTGTGTGTGTAGTTACAGTGCGGCCGTTTGCACTGCTGCCGATGTGACCGTGACTATTCCTAATAACATATGGCACAACCCACTGGTGTGCATCTTAATAGCAACTAACACCGACAAATGCTTTCTCCACACAACCGTTTGCATGTTAGAATATTAGCCTGGCTAAGTGTTGATTTGGCTCCCTGCTACACGTATGATGAATGCTAGTTCAGTATCACAGAAACCAAACAAAAGCTAAACCCGTGCCCGATAAAACTCCACCAATAAAAGCAGTGCAGTCTTTTTGGAAGCGCTATGATCTTGATGTCCTGTCAAAGGTAGAGCTTTCTTGGCTTCCCATAGCTTCCCTTGTGTTTTCGTCATGTGTCATTCTAAGTTTATAGAGATTAGCAATGAAAATGGGAACCCTGAATCTGTTATAACATTTTATTTTCCCCTCATTCTCAGCAAAACGCATGAATGATATTCTACAACGGTAAATCCTAACTTGCTGTGACTTTCTGCATCTCCGCCACGAGCTCTTCCTGATCCCATTAGCGCTCTGTCTCGCCGACACCTTTTGGGAAGATGTAGTAGAAAGCGCAGATTATTTTAATGTATGGTGACTTAAAAAGCTCTGTATCCCATGCAATCCTTGTTTTTACAAGAAAGCTTGACAATTACTTCAAATATCTCCCAAAGAAGACGTTTATATAAAAGGTTTACTGCTATGCAGTGCAGGTAGAAGGATAAATGCATGAGGAGTGGCTGCGTGTCTTTTATAAGGGGCCCATCTGTGTGAGCGTGTTTTGCACCTGCTTCCCTCTTGAGTTTGTTTTGAAAATCTGCCTTTTTTTATCCACGTCAGGTTTATTTTATTTGCAGGGAGAAATAATTTAAATAGAAGAAATACGGACTTCATGTCTGTGAAATCCCAGAGCCTGCTGTATAAAAGCATGGCACCCGGGTAGAAAGAAAGCTACAACTATGTAAGAGAATAGGGGAGAATCGTCAAATGTTATCAAAATGCATACATATAAAATGAAGCGATCTAAATAGGCAAAAATAACCGGCATCCGAGAAATATGAGAGCTGTGTTTGACAGCCTTTGTATGTGTTCACCTGAACATACAAAACAAGCGCGTAGAGCTCCAAAGCTTCAGCTGAGAGCCTGGTTTGTTTCTGACTTCATACCTGCCTCATGATCAGTAAATCTATAAGAAGAAAATGACATCCAAATCAAGAAATGGTAAAGCTTTGCGGCACGCGGCAAGTTTGCTTAGAAAGAGTGATGGAGGTCGTCTTGGCGTATAAATCACAGTGTAATCAGGCTAAAATGGTAAAGCCTGCTGGGAAGCCGAGCCCTTCTAATTACAATGGGAGGTCCCTCTATTCATTGCTCTAATCGATCACTCACCAGACGCCGTATCTCAAGAGTTCCTCTCCCCTGTTTCTCTCGCTTTATCATGCATGCCGGGCCTGGAAACACATAAACACACACACACACAGAGCTTGAAAGTGGGCAGACGCTGTCTCTTCATTTCCTTCCGTATTCTTTTCACTTTACAAATTGCATCTACACATAACCAATGTGCTCTACCCTCATTCGGTTTTGAAGACTCTTTCTGACGTAACTATATACATTTCATACTTGAGCTTTACGTTTTCTCTAAGCTCTTGCTGGCTGACCGAGGCGCGCGCTGTGTGGCAAACTGCTCGCTCTGTCTCCCTGACTGAATGCCGCACACCGGCCTTCCATCAGCGCGCATTCACATGAACACGCGGGCTGAGGGGACGGGGGAGGAGACACTTTGGGACACGTCTCAACTGTCAGCCTGAGTGAGGTGCGTGCCCTTCGTCGGGTCAAATAGATGAGTGAAAGCCGGGAGACACGGGACAGAGAGCGATGCAGCGCCTCTTGTGAAAAATGTACTTTGGTGCCTACAAATGGAGCCACTACTGGCCCTTTGGACTTAATCCCTTTCAATGTTTGTGTTTTTTTTGTGTCTCAACATGCCCCCATTTAATAATTTACAATATTGCAGATGGATGCAATAGATGCATCTGCTGCTTTTATTACTGTACTTGAACTGCTTCCTTTATACATTCTCCCTCTCTCGCTCCGTGTCACTCTCGCTCTATATGTGTGTGTGTGTGTGTGTGTGTGTGTGTGTGTGTGTGTGTGTGTGTGTGTGTGTGTGTGTGTGTGTGTGTGTGTGTATATACTTCTTTATTTTCTCTCTTCTTTGGAATATCTTTGCATATTCTCTTTCTCTCTCCCTCCTTCCCGCTTCTTCACCATTCGACAGGAGCGGGTCGAAGGTCCCAAAATGAATGCAAATCACACACCCCAAATACAGACGCGCATTCAGATAAGAGACTATATAAGCATGCATAATTCATGCCTCATGCACAAGTCTTTATTTTCAGTTTGTTTGTGTGGGCGCTCG